TTGGATCAGTCTGGCAGCTGCTAGGATGGGTTCATCAGTCTGCGTGCATCGACCTGGAAATCGGATGACTTCTCCAATGGAAAGCACGTTGCTGGCTGCATGGTCCAAGATCAACAACGCCAGTCCATATTTGGACACTGGTTGGGGCATACGTAAGAAGGGAGCTGCTTCGACACTATCAGTGATGACTACCCCCCGTGTTTCTGGTCCTACCTGCTGTAGCGGGATCTGTTGTAAGGGTTCCCGATCCGCCTGGCAGAAAATCCCTGGGGGGATAACCACATCATTGGCATTCAGCCTGATCGGTTTGGACTTGGCAGCTTGTCCTTTCTTCTTGGTTTGGCCAACTGGTTTGCCAGAAAGTGCTCTCTCCTTGAGGACTTCTGATAACTCACTCGGATGCACAAGTTGAAGTTTGGGTGACAGCGAGTTGGCCTTTGCTTTGAGGCCCTTCCATGGATTGGGGGCTCTTGTGACCTGCATGATAGCCTGGCGTCCCAGTTTGGCCAGGACTTCTTTGGTTCTGTCCCCCACAGCAGAGGTTGGTACTCCGTGCTCCTGCAGGAGGTCATTGAGCTGTCGTTCAAGGTTGTCTGAGCCTTTGGCACCTCCTATCGGGAAATGACCAACCTGTATGAGTGCTTTGGCTTGGCCAGTAGCAATCAATTGTTGCTGGAATTGAGCTCTCCATAGAGATGCCTGGTGTGGGGTCACGGGTGCACATGGCACGTTGGAACAACTGTGGTTGCAGGTCCAAACCACTGATTGGAATCCACAGTCGCCTGCAAACATGTGATCAAGCTCTCTGATATGAATGTCATGGCTGGTTGACATCCATTGGGGCGGATGTTCCAAATGGTTGTCCGGGTCTGCAAAGAGGTTTCGAGCATCATTGATGAATTCTCCTCCATCAGTTGTGGTTTGGATCACCCATTTGTCATCATGTTGGTAAACCAAGAAAGGGATCCAATGTCTCCCAATCAGGCAAGCTGATGCAACTGGACAGGGTTGAATGGATGCATGGTGAATCAATTCTCCAATCCATTGAGCCATTCGAGCAATGGCTGCACAATAGCCTTCGGAATCCAACATGGCAAGGACATGAAAGTACTTGACCTGCGACACATGTTCAAATTGTTGCATGTAGAACAAGATTTCATCTGCTGCTACCCAAGCTTGCTGTTGGAATAGCACTGCCAATCTGGATTGGAGCAGTTGTTTTCTCAAATCTGGTCTAGGGTCATTGCGGGCTGTGACCGGGCAAACCTGGGGCTGAGATGCTGGTGCAAGGTGGATCTGGAGGTGCTCCGTGATCACCGTAGTACCTGGTAAAGTGTGACCCAGGTTACTCTTGGCCTGTGTATTGGCCGGTACACAGCCCAGCTCATGTTCTGCATGCAGCAAATCGTCGATTGTGGTACCAAATGGAATCCTGATGGGTATCGGCGCAGTTCCATATGGGTATACCAAGGAAGCATGGATGTGGTGAGCAAATTGATCCATGGCTTGGTTGGTGTTGTGCAAGGTTGAATCTGGTGCAACTGTTCCACTCCCCAAACATTTGGGCATTGGTGGGTCATGCCGATCTTCATGGTCGGGGTCAGGTACCTCAGGTGTGCATGGCAAAGGGATCCCTTCTGTAGTGCCCTTGGCCTGGTTGATGTTCGCAAGACCCTTTGTGTCGTTCAGCCCCTTTGCATGGGCAGCACCAGTGGAGTCGGCAAGGTCATCCTTTGGATCAGTGCTCTCGGCATTATGGTTACCCGGAGTTGCCGTCATTCCGGGGGTCAAAGGACCAGCAGTTGAGTCGGCACACCGGGGTGCCATAGCAATGAGCTCATTGGCATCAATGAAAGCCTCGGTCTGGTCCCTCGGCTTGGTTTCATTTGTTGAGCATGGGGCTCCTGTCGCAATGCCATGCAATTTGAGGGAGGAATGCTCGGCCTTCTCAGCATTATGGTTACCCGGAGTGGCTGAGATTCCGGGGGTCAGTGGACCAGCATGTTGTAGGGGCCTGGATGGTGGAGCATCTACGGCAGTTGAGCTCAGGTGCACGGCATTCTGGTATCCCGGAGTTGCCGTCATTCCGGGGGTCAAATGACCAGCACAGGGGAGGGGTTGGTCCATTCCATCCTTGGTGACACCTGCTGGTGTGGTTTGGACGCCTCTGTGATAATTAGATGCATTGTGAACGGCATTCTGGTAACCTGGAGTTGCCGTTATTCCAGGGGTCAAATGACCAGCGTGATTCATGGCAGCGTGGTCAGGAGCAACCTTGTGGGCTGCTTCATGTGAGCTCTCTTCGGATGGGATCCCTGCAGGCAACCCCTCTGGCTTTGCTACGGCATTTTGGTATCCCGGAGTAGCCGGCATTCCGGGGGTCAAAGGACCAGCATGGGAGGGGCAATGGTCAGGGGAGAAAGACTTGGTGTCCGCTGCTAATGCTCGGCTGTTCGCAAGTGGCTCATGTACAATAGGTTGTTTCAGGCCGGCTGCAATTGAATCGGATGCAACACTTCCCCGTTGGTCAGGGATGCCAACTGTTTCTGATTCCTGCCCATGAATTAATCCCGCCTCGGATGTGTCCATTGCAATGGCCTGTTCAGCTTGCTTGCACTCGGAGGACTCAGAATCGGAATCGGCGTGTTTGGCATGTATGACCCCTGCCTCGGATGCTTTCGAATGCTCATCAGGCCGAATGTGAGATCCGTTGGAAGGATCTGCTTGTGGCTGGTCAGCAACGGATGCATGTGAAAGCTCTTTGGCTTCCTTGGCAGTGGTGTGTGGCTTGCCTGAAAAACTGTGCTCTGGTGCCTTAGTCAGCAATGGAAATCCTTGGGATTGCGGAGCCTCAGTCCAGGTGGCTGTGGGTGAAATGGTCTGAGCAATCGGGACATTGGATGGAACCTGAAAACCAGGGACACTACCTTTGGTATTCCAATTGTCCATCTCTCTTGGCGAAGTGAAAGATTCTTTGGGTTTGGTCTCAGTCTGGTCAAATTGTTTCCAATCTTCTGCATTGGGGGGTGCTGTGATGACAGGTGGAACTTCAACTTCAACGACTGGAGTCGATGGGGTTGTTTTCAACTGGCATGCACGTGTCAAGACTGTTGAAAGTGCATCGGTCTCAAATCTAGGCTTAACATCACCTGACCCTGTTCCCCCCGTTTTGGATGGCTCTGATGCTTCCAAGTTGTCGAAGGAGTCCTGAAGCGTGCTTGCGATGCTTTCAGCATCAGGCAACTGGCGTGGGACAATACGACCTGAAGCGGCAGCTGACAGACACCCTTGGAGCATCCTACAGGTCTTTTGAACTCTTGGTACTTGACCGATCCCTGGAAACATGGCTTCTCGTGATTGGAAAAGAGATTCCATCATGTTCCACAAGATCTGTTCCGGTGGTGGGGCATGATCAGGGCAAGTGAGATCAGCATTGGTAAAATTCAATTGAGCTAAAACCCAACCTGATTGCAACGGTGAAGCCATCTGACCTAAACCTGAAATCGCCAGTTTCAAATGAGGCATCCATGGTCGATTTGGATTGAGTCCTTGCAAAAGGCTGAGTTCCCAAGGATGGATATGTCGCAATCTCGGGACCTCTTGAGTGCCTTCCATGACTGAACCCCCCAAATGAATCAGTGCTCCATGCATCCCTCGGTTCTGCAAACGTGTCAGGCTCATGGGGTATTGCCTGCAACCACATGGACAAGGGTCTAACTGGTTTCCCCAACCGTGCAGAGCTGTCTTCAGCTGCGAAGCAAGATTGATCAGATTCTTTGCGATGCCTCCACATTCTTCAAACTTGCGATACTCATACAATCCAATTTCCAAATGGTGCTGGTGATCAGGCGGCCAAATGGGAAAATCAGGCAGGATGTCTCCTACTGTGATTAATGCAGGAAGGTTCGGAAATGGCTCCAATGCCGGCGGTGAGGAACCTGGAAAAGTCAACATACACCACCAGCGTTTTCTGTTGGTGCACCAAATCTGATTCAGATCCAAGATGACTTCTCGAGCATTGTATTTGGTGACCTGGCACCAATCCCTCAACAGTTTCAAAACATCTTTATCCTTCCGTGCTTCAGTGACACATTCAAGCAAAATGGTGTGACAGCGAAGGAAAAATGAACATCGTAAAACAGATTTGAGTGTCAATGCTCTGACATCTGTGGATCTTTTTTGATCTCCCAGACGGCTCCATGGTTGACATGGAAAGCCGGCTCCCAAAACTGCCGGTGTCGGATGCGCTGCATGAATCTCAGCCCAGACTGAGTGGTTACCGATGTCCCCTGTGACAGTGGATTCAAACCCTTGATACCGCATGAAAGAAGTAAAGGAATCTCTGATGTCGTTGGCCACATGAACTTTGATGCCGTTGGCTGTCATGCCCTCCCCAAGTGCACCAATCCCTGCACAAACTTCGATGCCGTCTTTCATGGAACTGCTTGAAGCGATGGAATGCTCCAAATAGTGGTTGGCTGCGTCCACATGGAAACCAGATTTACCCATACTGATTTTTCCTCCCAAAATGGTTACAGCTACTGTGTCAGTCTTGAAGCATCCTGCAACTGTCAAAAAGGTTCGATGAACAGCACTGAGAACCAAATGTTTGTGGTTGGTCTCATCCCGAATTATCAGTTCAGCAAGAAAGTCAACCTCCTCACCCTCATGGATATGTTTCCAGTTAGGTTCCAGTCCCAGATTTGCCATGGCGACAAAGGATCCTAGGTACAAAGCAACGTCCCCCCCGAGGGTCTGCCAGCGTAGCTGTACCCCTGACAGGTCTCGGGCCCACAGCTCTCTGTCATTCCATTGTACTGGCGGATTTAAAGGGATTCCCATACTGGATTGTGAGAATCCCATACTAGACATCAATAGACTGGGTAGTATAACCTCCTGGAATCATCAGAGAACATGATGGCTGTCTATAATCCCCAATAATCATCAATAGACATCATTAATAGAACATAATAGAACATGATTGCTCAAATGGCCATCTCCTGAAGACTTGCAGGATCAGCCATCTTCGATGCTCATGTCCAGGCGACACTGGCGACACTGGCACTGGCGACAGAGCCTGCGAAGACGAAAAAACGTGGGATTTATGGAAATGGCCAAGCGGACCACACAGATAGGTAATCTTAATCTATCAATTGTTATTAATCATTCAGATCATTCGAATTTTGCTGGTAAATGATTTGACCCTTAGCCTAATACCTTGGAAGCAAGGTCATCTCAAAATCCAACCGAGGACCTCCGGCTCAACCTGGAATATGCAGAACATTACACTGTTGCAAACTGACCCAGCAACCATCTTGAAACGGCAGTCCTCTTCTGCCCAGCGATTCGCGCGCGGGGAGCTCTGAACCATCTCCACTGTGGGAGATTCCCTTGTGTCAAGAAGGTCTTGGCGCAGGTGGCTCAACCTGGAAGGTGCCAGGTAGATTTATCCAACAGCGACTGATTAAGCACAGTTTTGCATCTTGAGATCCTTCGCAACATGGCTTGAACGAAAAGAATTGAAAATAGTGCACCACCAACGCCCAAAGGATTCTTGTGGATTCTCATCATGCTCCCCTCTAAGAATTCCCTGTCACCCATAGAAAACCTGCACGCCTTGCACGAAGCTGTTGCTGTTCCAGCTGCAGTTGCTTTAGCCCTTCTTTCCTCAAGAACCCCAAGTTGCTTTGTCTCAAAACGGGGCATATATCGCCACAGTTCATGGATACTATGTAATTGGATTTAATGTTGGTTGTGAATAGGATAAACGATGACAACCCAACAACGGCAACGAGGGATACCGGGATACCCCAATTTCAAGACCGGTTTGATGAGAAAATGATGATGATCCATTTGAATCATGTCCGTACAAACAGGCAGTCTTTCCCACTGCGGGCCGAAGTGCCAAGGTGCAAAATTCTGCTTGGAAATCTTCAAGTACTGAAGCTGTTAGCGCTTTAACCACGAAAAACTCCCATCGCTTTTCACACGCTCACTTCAACCAAGACAGGTGTCTGAAAATGGGGTACACTTATATATATATATACATATACTCGTATATATATATATATATACATACACGTAATTCCACTATGGAGAGTGAATGCTAGTGATGAGTTCCCCCCTTACAGCTGTCATTTTAGGGCAAACCCAGTGTCATCTCGGAGGACTCTGCACTCTTGAAGAGGCTACGCTGCTGATCCTGTGGAAGCCAAAACTGGGAGATTTCACAGGGGGTATAAGTCTTATATATCATGGATATAACATTGTTATATATATATATATACATTATACTTAATTACCGTGGATGTTAATAAAATGTTATGGGATATATGATATATATGCTTATTCAAACCTGGATATAACATGGATATAACAAGCATGATGGAATATAATTGGAATATCATGGGATTTTTACAGGGATGGCTTTTTGGAGAGATTTCATGGGATGTAACAGGGATACGGATAAAAAATGGAATATCATGGGATTTAACAACGATGAGGTACCCCAAATTCCAATGGTTCATCGTCATGGACAGCGCCAGTTCTAAGCAAAGCCTCATTGCTACAGGCCGCATAGACCAATTCTTGGTAACATAATCTACTGCTGATCTAGTGTTGATGGAAAATTGGCCAACGATGGCCAATGAATGTCTTGGAATGTGTCAAACTCAACCCGCGAGAATGGACCAACGTCCTGGCTTCATCAGTACCCCCCAATTTTCACCTAGTGGTTGATCCATTCTAAACCCAGCGTTCCCCAAGAAATCCTCGATGAAGTGCAAGGCTTTCAGCTGATGCCTCAAACCATCTGCGGTGGCGACAGGCTGACGCTGTCCCTTGAGCCACGGCCAAAATGATTCTGAACCAGCATGCGATTGGAGATTCCACCTTGCTAAAGCAAGGGGGACTTCAGCTAGCAAAAGCTAGGCTTTGTGATGTGCATGTATAGTCCATAGATATGCTCTACTCTACAATTCAATGTTGTCCAAGTTATTGTTGGCATTACATTCTACTCAAAAAGGGAAGAAACGCAGCAGCACATGTTCTTCAGAAAAATGCTGCAGCTGAGCGTCTGTTGCTGCTGCTGAAGCATGCTCAGCGAATGCCTGCAGTCCTGGCAGCATCATTTTGGTGCTTCTCTAGCCTCCCACCAGCAGGAAAACAAATAGCTAAGTCCTCCGCAGCATAAACATATGCACATGCAATGCATACGAGAGTAACATATCATTCTTACCGTCCAATTCTTCGTATATGGTCCAAGCTTGTCTAACTACCAAAGACTGCAGGTTCCATGCGTAAACATCATTTCCCCCAATACAATGTTCGCTGCAAAAAAAAAAAACTGACCAAAAAAAAAACAAATAATTGAACCCGCCAACCCAACAGTTTCACAGCTCATATCTCCATCTTGCAGTGAAATCCGCCAAGGCTCCGCCAGGTTCTCTTGTTGCTGCTGCTGTGACGTCTTCATGGTCTCTTGAAGCGCATCAATGCCGTGCTGCAGCGACGCCACAGCGGCGCTCCACCTGGTGCCAGCAGGCATTCGGTCCAGGGACGGATGAAACGAAACTAATGTTGGAAAGAGCATGCTCTATCATTATCTTGACTTTTATCATATTGGTCATTATCACTATCATAATTATCCTTATCGTATTTCTATTATTGCCATAATTATATATATATATCACATAAATAATCATTGTCATCTTATATTGATATTATGTACGATTAAATACTTAACTGTTATTACGTAGTATTATCTATCATTATATCATGTTCTCCCTCCAGCTTCCATGTCTACCAGAGGAACAAGTCGCCGCTGCCTGGGCTCTGCATCTTCCACCTTTGGACTCTCCGAAAGGGACTGGACAGGCGAAGTCGGTGAAGCATCGACGCCTTTGGGTAGCCACTGAGACCACACCGATCCTCCTTTGCATAGGCACTTAGATGGGTATGGGTCAATACCTATAGATACATTTTTAGTGGGATGAACATCCATTTACCAGCTATTTTGGGGTTCACTAGGTACCAGGGTTTTGACCCATCCCCAGATTAAGTTACCTGATGAGAGAGCACCTATGGTGGACATTTGTAGACCTTCCACGCTTCAATAACTTTTGGCAAACTATGCCTACCATATCTTTGACGTGGTGTAAACGGATGGATAGGATGCTCAGCAGCCCTGCCAGGCCTTCCTTGAATGGATCGTCAAGACCTCGAGACTTCCACTCGAGACCCCTATATTTCCCAAGAGAAAACCTGGTCCTGCCACGCTTTGCTCATTGCTCACTGGAAAAGTAAAAATAAATCACTTGTTGCTGGTGTCATCAGACGTACGAGTAGAACTGAAAACAGCAGTTGGGTCAATTGGTTGTTTCATGTTTTCTTTCGCAAATACTTTGTGGTACAAAAGAAAAGCCATGGCCGAAACCATTGACCCTTCCACTACAGCTAGGTGTCACATGGATTGAGGCACCCAAAGAATTTGAATCAGCTACAGAAGCACTGTCAACCCAACAGAAAAATATCATCTATGAGTAAGGCATAATTCCTAGAAGCACATCAATGATATTTCCCTTCTGGTTTGCTATGGATAAGTGAGCTGTATCCGTTAAACTCAGAGGTTGGTTATACCACCACTATATAGAAGTACCATGATCTTCCCATACAGGGCCAGCACTGGATTCCTTTGCCAGTCCAACGTACTCTAACCATCGCTTTCATCACTTTCATCACTTTCATCACTTTCATCACTTTCATCACTTTCATCACTTTCATCACTTTCATCACTTTCATCACTTTCATCACTTTGAAATTCCAACAACCAACATGCTCCAACCAGAAAATCAGCATTTTGCCACCCATTTGGGTGATGCTTTTGACCCTAAAAAATGCCCAAAAAAACCTCGGAACTGGGGCACCCCAACTGGGCAACGGCCCGGCGCTCTGTCGTCCGGGTTCACGTCCACCTTCCCGGTTTTTTGGATCCGGCAATCCATGGCCAGGTTTCTGGAGCATTGAAAGTAAACATTGAATTACACACATCAACAAACTAGAATAAAGAAGATAACATATATATATATATATACATAATTATGTATATGTATATACACATGTACATATAAATATATATATATATATTCACAAAGAAACAAACAGAGAAACAAACAAACAACCAACCAACCAACCAACCAAACAAACAAACATGTCCCTGAATGAAACGAGTTCGAAGAACAAAATTATCACACACACACACACACGCGCATATCCATCCAGCCTTTGAGGGGGGTTGGGCCAAAATTTCCTGTGGTCGACCTATTGGTACTTTCCGAGCCTTTCACTGCTGCACTTGCAAAGGGGCTCTCTTTTTGCGTGGATGTGCTGAGAAACAAAGAAGGATAAATCTCTCAATCGATTTCTAAAGGTTCCTAACAGCTGCCTTTAAATTATATTACAGGAACGCTGGGCAATCAATATCATATTTGAACATGTTTGAAGCTGAGCCAAATTTGATCCACTTGCATCTTTGCAATCCAAGTTGCCCAGATCCTTGCAACTGAAGGCGTGAGGCCCCACATAGGAAGCCTGTGGCTATAGTGAAGATGGTGGAGTATCTCCTTGATATCTCTTGATGTGTCAACGAACAGAGCGACCAGGCCTGCAGCTTGTCATGAGCTCGAATACCGCAGTCGACCAAGCGCCAGTGGTCCTGTGGTCATCTCTAACACTGTTCAACACTATGAGTTTCCAACCATAGATCCCAGTGTCATGTATATGACTCAGCATTCAAAGAGCAGTCTTAGAGATGGAGCATACTACATAACTTGTAAATAATTGTAAATAAATATTTATATATACAAAGAGTTGTTAAGATACCGCAGTCCGAGTTTGACTTTGGGCTGTGCCCATCATTTGCTGGGGATCGAAACAAAAAAAAATCTGGTCCTTCAGCCTCAATCCCAGGAAAGTCAACCTCAAGATCTCCGTATCCAAGCCCGACCTAAGCTCGGCTGAATGCCGTGCCGGTCAAAAAAAACTCCAGTTGGGCGGGCAGTTTTGGTGAGGGGTAAGCCATCCCACAACTAGAATCCCTTGATGTTCAGAGATGTCATAGCATTTCATAGTATTACCAGTATTACATTAATTAATTTGGTTTAATCAATCTGTGAATCTTCCAAAACTGCCTGCAGCGCCATCCAAGCCTGTCCCAATGTCTCATTTCAGCTGAAGTGACTCCCGCGCCAAGCGCTGTTTCAGGTCCAAAGTTGTAGCCTCCAAACATCTTGCGGAAAACACCTAAATCCCATGGCTGAAGACTTCATTTTCCTATTGAAATTGCTATGTATTGGGAGTATATTCAATTTTCAGACAGACCCACATGGAAACGTTAAAAATGCATGTTCCCATATATTTTCCCATCAAAATTGCCTGTGGGACTGTGGGAATGGGTCAAAATGGGAGACTTCACCACTTGGATACAGTAGTTCATAATCAGTTAATACCAACAAATGACCAGTTTGCTGCGGTTGGGCCACTGGCTTCAAAATCTTGACCACCCACAGGGATAGGCAGCTTGTCAGAACAAGATGGAAAACCTGATCATGCACCAGTTTGATCTCACAATTGTCATCCTTTGGGCACGGGGTGAACTTCACTGTCCGATTGATGAACTTCCCAAGGACTGGGTATATATATATATAATCCGACTAGCTTGACCATGGCACACATGGCGTCATTCTTAATGGTATATGGGGTCTGGTCATACCACCATAATTAATAAGGGATTCCTCATAATCTGGATATTAACCACTATTAATGGTGGATGACAATCTGGCAGGAGAAGAATGCATGCTTTGACCATGAAACACGTCCGCTGCATTGGGACCAAGATGTTGGGTACAAACCCTTCTTCCATTGGATATACATAAATATAACCAGCTATGTACCTCCTTCATCCTCCTTCTATTTCTATCGCCAAAACTCGACATCCAAAGGTAGGATTTCAAGGGTCGCCTCTGGAGCAGAGCGCTGCCAGCTGGTTCGACCATCAGGAAACTTCACCTAGGAACCATCAGCATATGGAAAGAACCCCTGGAGCCCTGGTTTTAATCGGCTCTGGATGGCACCTTCGTTTTTGCCTATGCCAAGTTGCACAGTTCGAGGGCCGGAACATCTTCTCAACAAAAGCAACAACTGTTGCACCTGGAAAACAAAACTCATGTTTGTCCTTAGGTCCTTCAACTTAACATTCCTTTTGCAATACAGTACCCATTTGCTGGAGTGTTTTCGGATATCTCAAGGATGCCCAGGAATCTCATGCCCAGGAACTGCCACATCAATGAGCCTGCCAGTGGAGATGTGATGACCTCATCAAACTCGAGCGTCAAAGTGGTCCGGTTTGATTCATGGCATATCATGGCTCAATTCATTGACTACATACAGTAGCCACAACAAAAAAACAGATGATCCAGGATCCATGACTTATCACCAGTTATATGTATATATATATATATATATACGTGTATGTATATATATATATACATACATACGTATATATATATATATGTGTGTGATTATGTGTGATATAATGTGATATATATATATACGTGTATATATGTCATATATGTATATGATTATATATGTGATATATGGGATGAATATGGATGAATCAAATCCCCTAGCAGCCCTAGCAGTTCTACAAGGGAAACTCTGCAGTTTTCCTGGGTGCGCGGGGCCTGGTCTGGACCTGACGGGATCATCACCCAACGATTTTTGCGCAGGGAACTGAAGGAAATCTATGAAGAAACCTCTTGATAACTCTTGTTTGGAAAATGTTGGAAACTACTGAAGCAAAGAATAACAAGAAAAGTCATGAGGATTCTGATATGTGTTTGGTTCCGCCAAATTTGCTGATAGTTGAACTAACATCTGTAACAAAGAAAACATCCGAGGGGTGCCTCTTTCGGTGGCGAGTTGGTCTTGGGGCAGGTCGACGCTCCTGCCGTCAATGTGAAGGGAAAGGAATGCTTGGATCACGGATTCAGACTTCAACTTCTACCAGATGTGTCGGTATTGTAGACAATTTATACGCAAAAAAAGCGCACGATCATATCTGGGGACGAATTCTCGAAAGCTTGAACATAGATGACATAAGAAAATGCGGCTCTCAGCTTTTGGAGGCTAAGAAGTGGGGTCCGAGTTTCTCAGGAACAAACCCATACCTTCATGTGGGTCTGAAAATGGAGTATTAGCCACCAAGGATATGACTACTTTGATGCTTAAAATATCATTAAGATCATTATTAATAATATTTATATTTCACGATATTCAACCGCAATCAATCATAATTAAGATTTTGGGGTACCTTATTTTCAAAATGTTTCAAACAAAGCCGTGACCACTCGGACTGGCCATGGCAGGTGTCCCATGATCAAAAAACCATCTCCAGGCCTCTCCGCGCAGCTCTGCTCTCGAAAGCCTGTCTACTGGTTGCTAGAGATTCCCAATGAATTCCCAATGATTTCCATATAGATCATAGTGTTTCCCATTGATTCCCACTCCATCACTTCGTCAACCTGATTTTTTTTCTGACTTGGAGGACCATCAACCATGGGGTTTTGGATGGTTTTGACCAGTTATGGTGGGCCAGGCCACTCATCACAAATCATCACAAGCTGACCGCATCACACTTGGATCCCAAACACACCGCTGTCATCCTCCGTGGGGCACCGTTGTAGTTCACCTGTGGGCTCAGAGTGCCATGGACTTCATGGAACTCCTCGGCCACTGTGGGCTGATCCAAAGAAACCCTCTTGGTCATTAGATTTATTTAGATCTTTGTTCACTTAATTAATTCACTTTATCACAAATTTAAAATAATTTAAATATCATCATCAATCATCTCAGATCTATCCACCTCAAACTTGCAACCATGTTTCCTGCAAGTCCTCTACTTCAGCCCTGGCGTTTAGACCGCTGCCTCCGCCGAGCTCTGTCTCTTGCGTGCAAGAGAGGTCCTGCGGAGCCACGCAAGATCTACGCAATGAATCTATCCACATGGCTGCCTACTGCAACAAAGCATCACCGTAGCTGGAAGAAACTGAAATTTGGCCAGTGATGCCCCGACAAAAATCCCAAGATTCTTTGAGTTTTCGTTCTCTCATCCATTCAAAATGGGTGCTTTGGGCATGGTGATCGTCCCCACTGTCCTTGATGGGTCGGTGATCCGGCATGCGCTCCTGTCGGCTCGGCATGCACATTCAACATGATCTTCCTATATGGCTATTGGTCAAAACCCTGGTACCTAGTGAACCCCAAAATAGCTGGTAAATGGATGTTCATCCCAGTAAAAATGTATCTATAGGTATTGATCCATATCCACATTACCAACTGTCATTTAGCCATAGCTCCAAAATCAGGGTCCACTGAGGAACAACCCTGAGTCTGGACATGTTGAGTCTTAAACATCTTAAACCATCCAAAACATGCGACTTTGACTAAATTCAAAGCCAAACATTCAATGGAAAAACAGAAACAGAACAGTATACCATCTGGTTATGACTAACATAGCTATGGAAAATCACCATTTTTCATAGGTAAACCATCTATAAATGGGCCATCGAAATCCCATGGCTATGATGGGCCAAAGGATGTCACCTTGAACTCGCTGATTCCCTCGCTGGGCACAGATGTTTTTGGCCTCAGAAGAAATGAGTGTTGCTGATCTGCTCCAAGGGAAATTCTGTGGGAAACCATAGGTTTTCCCAATGAAAATGGGGAGGGTTCCTGTAATTTTTCCCTTAAACCAGGCCATTCTTCGAAAGTCTTCCGGAAATGAAACGTATGAAATCATGAATCAACCAGCAATCAGCAATCCATCAAACATTTCAACATCCACCAGTTGATATCATTGACTGATTTGCTTGTCCATGTTCAAATTAGGATAGAAGGTGTTCAGAAAATTCGATACAGGATATGAAATCATTAGCCAGAAATGACTCACAATCAAGGCATGGAAGAGATGTGAAACTGGCATGAGGACGACGATGGACAAGATCTATGGAGATCCCAACATCCCATTTGGCTTAAGGATGTTGGAGTCCCCCTTAGTGCCTGAGTTGCAGGCAAATCCAATGTGACCATCACCCCAGCATCTCTATCTTGACCTTCCAGTTGAGCGACTTTGGAATGGACGCAGGTCGTACAAGAGATGGCTGCTCTCCATCCGGGCCAATGGTTGTTTGGATGAACCAAGGTGACGAAACCGCCATTGGCCAAGGCACCAGACATCTCTGTTATATTTCTCAATCTCCCCATGTTTCCTGTCCCTATGTTTTTCGCCCATCAGACCTCCTTCAGCCAGTGGCCGGAGCTGTTCCTGCAGAAGAAGCTGCTGATTGATGATCTCTTGGATACTTTGCTCCTGCCGTGGCACCATGGCACCATGAGCCCGGGCTCTCCCAGGTACTGTGCATATATTGACTCCAAGTTAGAACTGACATAACACATCGTAGCTAGGCGGTCCATTACATATGGAATGCTATACTAATGAGTTGAGCATGGAAAGTATGGCCCAACCATGGAGTATGCAGTACCAAGTATATAGCAATTTGGGACAATGCTATACTGGACCTCAAGAAGGACAGATTTTTTACGGCTCAGTGCAGCGTGTCCCTGGGGCGGTAAGAGGTGCACTTTTGTCGCCTCTCTGCCTGGCAAATGTCAGAACGCCAGTGCGTTTCTATATGTATATAATGTGTATATATATAATATTGGTGGTTTTACAAGATATATATATATATATATATATCATTATTATATTATATATATTATTATATTATATATATATATTGTATGTATGTGTTTCATATAATATACATACCTTTCTGTGTTACCATGATCATTGTATATTGTTATTTTTGCTGCTATTGCTATGATCACTATCATCCTTAGTGTCTACACTCTCATTCTCTCACATTCATTACTGCTACCCTCCGGTACTTTAACAGGTTGCTATAGAAAATTTCCCAAACATGTTTTTCATGGGAAAATCATCTATAAATGGGGGCCTGGTTTCATCAGAGGAAACATCTTTTGCTCCCAGCTTCTGTCAGCTGGATAGTCCAACCCCTGAATCGCTGACTTCTTCAGCCCAACATTGGCAGCGGCATATTGGCGCTCAACAACTTCGTCAAAGGAGACTCTGGATCTAGCTGAAGGCTGCAGTAAATCATAGGATTCTGGCCCAAGTCTTCGTCCACCGGGTCCAACACAACCAGATCCATATGAGGGAACTCCTGGTTGGGGAACGCCATCAACTTTGCCATTTCTTGGTGCAGCCTTTGAAGAAAAGCTCTGCTACCTGGGACCTGGTTCTGGCACGACATGTTCTTGATCTCCAGACCAAAACCCTCTCTACTTCCGCAGCATCAAACATAAACTTGTGGAAAGTCACATGGCCATCACATGTATCAGCTGCATATCAGCTGCCAAGGCTTTGGCAGCTTTGAAAAAGGCCAGCACCTCTGCTATAATTACCGTGGAAGTCCGTTTCACCATAGGGTCACAGGAGGAATCATCTTCAGGTCTCCTAAGCCAAGATAGCTCCAGAGCCCAGAGACTTCGCAAGTAGCGGAAGCATGGGACTTCCGTTGAGACCTCCATCGCCATTCGCTACCGGTTCTTCTGTTTCCACTCGAATCCTCAGGTCATGTAGCCCCGGCATGGTGAGAAAAGCTTCGGGCTTCGGTAGCTCTGTATGTGGATGAAAATGGCGGAAAACTGTTCAAGTCAGATACGATCCTGACTTCGTCATCACTTGGCATGACTTGGCTGTGTCCAATGCTTGGCGGTGTCATTCTACAGCTGAACCTGCAAGGTTTTAAGCACAAAAACCCGGCGCTTTGAACAATATGGGGGGGTCCATAAATGGGGGTATCCCCAAATCATCCATTTTAATGGGATTTTCCATTCTAAACCATCCATTGTGTGATATCCCCATTTTAGGAAACCCCATATGAGTTGCTGGTTGAAGTTGCCTGGTTGAAGTTGCCTGTTGTTGCACCAGTGGTTGCCTGGTTTTTGGCAGATTTCATAGGATCACTGGTATATCACGAGGCAACACGATAAGCAATAAGCAATTTAGCAAGTGTAATCTATAATCCAAAAGTCTTTTTTAAAGGGTGGCTACAAAAACACTGTGTCAAGTCGTTATTTTCTTACAGCAATGTCATGACTTGAACATTATAGTGAGTGACTAGTGATGACCAGTGGCAATATCCAGAGAGGTCGGTTCTCTTCCTGTCTCCAATGTGAATGGCTTTACTTCCTGTCGTTTCCATGTGCGACACGGACATGTCAAAACCAGTCGCTTCACTGGTGATTGTCCAGGCCCAAAAAGTCCAAACGTCATCTACTGCATCAACGTTGCAAAGATGTGAGGGCCCCTGTGGCTGATGATATCTGAACTGGGGGGTCTTCATTTCTAGCTATATTAAGACGCACCGTTCTCTGTTCCTAATATGTTCATTGTATATTGGCATTGCTGTTAGTGCTATAATCACTATATATCACTATCATCGTTGTTGTCTACAATATCATTCTCTCACATTTATCACTATTACGACCTGGATGATTATTATTATTATGGTTATATCATAGATTTTTTATGTGTGCTATTCAATCCATCATCATTGCCACTAATGGATAACATTATGGCTTTTTGATGGCTAATATGTCTAGCACGCTCTCAAGCCCTCCCAAAAGCTTGGCCTCCGCATCCGGCGAGGCGCAGCGTGAGGACGGGCGTTGCGTCATCGCACCGGCCTTGGGCGAGATGCTGCGCTGAAGGCGTTGCTGCAGGGCCTTGGGGCGAGCTGAAGGAGCTGGGTTTTCGTCCCGTTGTCTTGTTGCTATCAATGTGGTTCAATCCCAAGTTGATTCATCTCGCTTTAGGATGGGAATAGCATGGAATAGCATGGAATAGCATAATTGCCGATCAAGCTGATGATTCAGAAACCCGTTGCACTTTAGGCAGGCTTCACCAGCTATAATTGTTCACATCACGACTAATCACGACGCTATTCCCTGTCAAAATAATGAGCTGGGTTGGGGGTCAGGTCAAGATCAATGAGTTGGTTGGGATGATGTGTGCTGATCCAAAGGTCTAGGTCTCCCCTCCAGTTGTTCTTGGACGATGTCTTTGATCGTCTGCTGCAAATCCACAGGAACTGGCTCTGCCTGGGCGAAAGTTGTTGATACTTATCTTTCTTATTAACCATTATTAACCATAATTAACCATTATTGACCATTATTAACCATTATTGACCATTATTAACCATTATTGACCAGTATTAACCATTATTGACCATTATTAACCATTATTAACCATCATTGGATGCCAAAAAACACCAACCGGCCTTGGTGATGACCTCGACTGGCGTTTCCTTGCGAGGTGCCTCCAGTCGGCCAGGTCACCCTTTTTTTTCCCCAAAACTGGCCATGGTCAAAGTGCAATTGGACCACCAGCCTCGGGCAACAGCTTGATCTTTGGCCTTCGAAGTCAGATGCGTTGGACATCGCCGCAATGAATCTCTCCACAAAACTCAATACATGATATGGGTGTGTCTGAAAATAGTGTACCCCTAAACCCAATGGTTAATGATCATTATCCCTATTAAATGGCTATAATTGGGAATATACCCTATTTTCAGACACACCCATATACATGTGCAACCTGCTCCGCTGCCGATAACCTTAGGCCCTGCCTGTCAATCTACAGTCAATCTTAGATATCTACATGACATGTTGCCAACCTACAGCCATTTTCTCCGGCAGGGTCTGGGGCCTGCAACCTTTGCTATGATTCCTGGCCATATCCTCACATTAAATCACATGAAATTATGCTTGGTTCTTGCCATCATAAACTTAGCAATGCCCAATTGCAGCTAAAGGCCATTCTCGATGCCCTGTGGCCCAACCCCACCTGATGCCAGGCTCAACACCTCCAGTGTCCAGGTCTTGCTTCAACTTGAACCCTTACCCTTCACTGTGAACCTTTTTTTGCAATGCAAAAAAAAAGAGGTGCGACAGCCGATCGTATCCGATCGTGGTTTAAACCATTTCCTACCGGTTTCTCTTGTCTCGTCCTGCTGCTCCCAACAAACAAATGCCCTACCACAAGCATAGCTGGAACCTCTGGACTATCCAATATTCCCAACAATACTGTAGCATCATGTAGATAATATCTGCGCATTTTTTAATCCTCCAAAGCATCCAAAGCCCGATAAAAAAAAAAAAAACAAACATATATCTGCCATCTTCCCAGCCTCGAATGGTGCGACCCGGCATCTCACATCTCTCCTGCCATTTTTGGAGATCTGATAGTGGTGAGACGTGAGAGCCCCCACTGACCCTATGACCCTATGACCAGACATGCTCCGTCCTGTCGGGCAGGTGGCTCCAGCAGAATCTGCTTAGAACCTGCAGAAAGATAACTCCATGGAGATCATCATCCCAGAGTTGGGCGGTTAAAAAACAGTTCTTTTGCTGAAAAAAAACTGAAAGAGATTGAAACAGTCTGAAAACACCAACCAGTTGCGTCTGACCATCTCCTTCCCACCTGGTACTCCATGCCTTACACGCAAGGCCTGGGGTGAGAGAGACGCCGCCAGGGCCAGCTGCCTCAGCCGTCAGCATGGTTGGGGGATCATTCAATGGGGGAGTTTCCAGCTATGCATGATTACCAGAGGGTTTTGAACCAGCATCAGTATTGAAACTACTACTTTCGCCTTTCAGGGCAAGTGTCCCTTGTGGGTGCGCTGACACAGTACTCCTTCACACAGGTGTCGTGCCTAAGCCATACTAAGCCCTTACTGTGTTGTCTGCACTTATTCTCAATGTTGCTGGTGGTTTGTCCATATTTGTTTGCTGGTGTCTGTTGATCTCTTTCGGTTGGCTACCATGAAGCCCCACCCCTTTTAAACAGCCAATGGGGTGGCAGATCCCACCCCTGAGGTTCAAACATTCCTTCGGGCCAATGAGGACAGAAGTCAGCCACCAACAAGCTCAACTCCTAGCATTTCCAGCGCCGATCATTGCAGGTCTTATCATCTTGTGCCGGCATCATGACATGATCAGTTGATGCGAAAATCCATCAGTTCATGCAGAAAATGTCTCGGATATCAATTGGTTCAACATATTTTCACAGGAAGTTCCATCTATATTTCCATCATTTTCACTTAAGTTCTACACTGTTCTACAGGACCACCAGTTGGACCACCAGAAATCCACCATCCAGGCATGGTCCATGCACCTCCGACTCCACCAATTGCGAGAGTCGGAGCAGGTACTCCAGGACCTCTGGTGGCGGGGCTTATGGGACCCAAAGGCACGTTGGAGAACGCTGTTTACATACTATATGGCTATGGATCAATACCTATGAATAGCATTTTTAATGGGATGAACATCCATTTTAACCCAGCTATTTTGATGTGAACTACAGGGGTACAAGGTTTTGACACACTGCCATATATCTATATACTTTTAGCACAAATCTGAACATCTAGAAAGGCTTGACAAAGGAACCTGCATGATGGAATTGATATCCCCGTCTGGTGAGTCTTCAGCATATAGCCAATGGTTCAATGGTTCAACGATACATTTCTTTTGTTCAGGGGAAAAGTTCCAGGTGCTTCAGAATTGGATCATCCTGACAGCCTCATCATCGAAAGGCAGTTGCATCCCCAGCCAACTTTCCAACTGCGCTCGCTGTGCTTGGCCTTGGAGGCTCCAATGAGGAATGGCTTGCTTCATTTCCAGCTTCATTAGAGCTAAGTTCTGCTGGTAAAATCGTGCAACATCATGCCGAATCCCTTTTCATTATGTCATTATGGACCATTATGGGCTGTTCCATCCCATTCTGCGAATCTTCGGCTGTCGTCCGTTCCATGGCCATCCATGGCCATCCATGGCCCACCCAAGTCCCAAACTTCTCATCGCACTGAGCTGTTGGATGGGATCCATGCGAGCTCATGACGGCGCCGCAAGGCGCCGTGGGGCGGGCAACCTACAGATCCTACAGATCTTGAAACCACAGGAGGTTGTGCAGGGATGAATAGCACGGGCAAGTTGGCTATTGTGGAGTAGACTCACCCAAACATTTGGAATAGCTTGGCCCTTTGCAGTTCATAGATTTCTGAAAGGCCTGACTTTCTGCGGAGAAATCTGGAAAGCTGATACATCATGATACATCTGCGGAAGCAGCTATGCCATGACCTTCACAATGAATGTCTATGTCTCGGCTGACAAAAGCTGGCAGTTCAGGTCATGCAGGGATTTGTGAAGCATTGTGAAGCATCAATCCAAACAGGTTGGGAACTTGCAGCACCCATTCGTTTCCCTCAAACATCCTCAGACATCCTCAGACCTTGTTTGGAACGGACAGTGTCGATGAATTCATCCACCAAGTATCTCATTATCACATGTCCCCAGTCGGGTGTGAAATGAAATTTGTGACTTCAACAAATGTTATAACATGTTATAACTGTGTAGTCCCTGAAGTCTCTCCCTTGGCCACGCACAGTACACCTTTTTTTTCGGGCCAACCCTCGCGGTGTCTCACCCTCAGCACACAACACGCAACACGGAGATGGCTGACGGTTTTTGGCGCTTCTCAGTAGCCCCATCGAGGACCGCCACCAAAGAGATGCACCGGGGTGTGATGGACGAAGTACCAAATGCAGCGACCAATGAAGCCTGGAGGCTTGTGGCTCATTCACATGATGATCTTTCAAAAAGAAAAAATGTAGGCCTGAATTGGTTGAAAACACTAGAAAACAACATAATTCTGAACAAGAAAAAACAATAAAGCCAATATAAAGTCAAAACCCAGCAGCCATAGGCGCACTCATCAGTCTTGGAAGCTTCGATGAACTCCTTCTGGACTGCGCAGACCTGACCCCACACACACATCAGGCCGGAGTTCTTCTGCCAATTGGCACCGGCTACGAAGCAAGCATCATCAGGACCAAGGGATGTGGCGAACATGCCTGCACCCCATGGCCAGTGCATGTCCCAGACATGCAGTGGTTCTCCGCAGCAGTCGACTGTCTTGTTCTGGAAGAGCAGCCTGTCTGTCTTTTCGATGTTGCTGCATGCAACAATGCACATCTCCTCACCTGGGTAAGAGATCTTGGGGATGGGAGGAATTGGCCAGTCATCTGGCTTCTTGCCAGGCTCGTCGACGCAAGAGTAGTTGCAATCACCAACAGCGTAGATACGGGGATAGCCCTTGTCGTCGCCTCCCCAGAGCTTTCCATCCCGAGTCTTCACCGAGAGGTTTTGGTTCTTGGCCAAGCACCAAGATCGCTGATGTGTTGATACTCACGCTGTGTTTGCTGCATTCAATGCATATCTTTGTCTCTCCCTCTCTCTCACACCCAAAAGTTGAGAACTTGTGTGAATCACATTGTCTGTTAATTCTCAGCTCCTGGAAAGACTCTACAAGAAAGATCAGTCATGATTACAAACTGAAAAGAATTCTGAGCACACGACCATCAAAATCCAGCCACCGCCACCCGGTCCCTTCTCACTCAAGGTCTCCTTGGGCATGAAATAGTTCGATGCCTTCACACCAATGCACACGTACTCCTTGTCAGGACCGTTGGGCATTTCAATGCTCTTCCAGAAGTCTGGATTCTTGGCATCGTACTTGGTGTTGTAGAACTGCTTGATGCCAACCTTGCTCATGTACTTCTCCTGACAAGATTTGCGCTCCAATCTATGAAGTCTTGAATGCATGGAAGGAACGTGCGCATGCTGGCAAATTGTGCGTTTCATTAAACCCTAGCCCGTTTGCTTCTGGGCCCTTCGAGTCTGACAAATTGTGAAACTCCTCCAGCAATATCATGTCTCGACAAGTCAAGCCGAGTGTCGCAGTACTTGGCAGCGTTGGCTGGCAAAGGACCAAGTGGCTGAGGCAAGAAATCGATGACGGTCAGCTTCACTCGGGGGAAGAAGTGCTGAATCTCCGTGGCCCATTCGACACCAATAAAGCCAGCACCCACCACCAACACGGTGGCCGACCTGTCGTGCAAGCTCTTCAGGAAGTTGAACCTTATTCACAGCGGGGTCCAAACAGCTGGTTCATCTCAATCTTAGTCATGCAGCCACAAATCCACCAGTGAGTAGCGATACTGGTGACTCGGTGACTGGTGTTCGGGTGTCCCAATCAAGCATGCGTATCACATTGTATACCCTCTGGTTATTTAACATAGCCATGGAAAATGGCCAATTGATAGATGGTTTACCTATTAATAGCATGGTGGATCTTTCCATGGCTATGTTAGTCATAACCAGAGGGTAACCGTATGTCCACCTCATGTCTGGCCATCGCTTTTAAGGGGGCTGAAACGGCTTTCGCCATCGCCATCCGCAGGCTCCAACAGTCACTGCTTCGCCCAGCAGCTCCTCCAAGACGTGTCGGCGACGTCCCTCCAGGTAACGCTCGTCCAGGTGGGGCCAGGAGCCTCGCAAAAAATCCACGCAGAATAATTACTGAGCTTTCTTGGATTGATTAATTGGTGCATGTAATATGTATATTGATGATATGATGATATGATGGCATGATGATATGATGATGTATGAAATGTGTGACATGATATCATGAAGCATGTGTGTGTGTGTTTTAATAAGTTCTCACATGTGAGCAGTGAAGCATGATCTCAGTCTCCATTCTGAAAAGATCTGAGACATTCCCAACCGATCTGCTCATCCCCACGGCTAGATGGACCATTCCAGGCCCCCTCAAAAGCAGCACCTTCTGGTCGTGCGTCTTCATGGATTGTTGGGAACCAGAGCGACTCACCCCACCTTGGTTTTCATCATCAAAACCTGCCAGCGATTTGGCCGCTGAATCGGCATTCTTCGAGCGCAGCCGGGCGGCTTGTGGAAGGGGCCAAAGTTACAGCCAGCTGCAATGATGCAGTAGTCGAAATCGATGGTTTCCTGCAGCAATACTACTGTAAATACTGGTATCTCTGCAGCTGGAGCCCAGATCGACTTGCATCCTGGACAATGTGCGCTGGACATCCAAAAATATAGACAATATAGACAATATAGAGATTTGGAGAGTATGTATATATATATATAATTATATATAATTGACTTTAGGTGCTGGGTCAAGTAAGCTTGGGGGCCCTGATCATTATCCTGATCCTTTCAAACCATCACCACTCTCACCCCCTCTGCATGGCTGTTCACCCCGTCCCGTTCGGAGGTGAAGATGGGCTTGTAGGTGGCTGTCTTCTGCTCACCGTTCAACTCCTTGACTTCTCCCCAGATGTACTTGCAGGCCATACGCGTCTGGCCAGGCAGTTTGCACATGTTTGCACCGAAGATGGTGCAAGGATGTGGGAACACAAGAAAACTGTTTTTGGCTTTTATGGTTGCCTTGAACGGTTGCAAAATGCTACTGTAGGCTGACAAAACCCAAGGTTGATGCTCACATGAATTCTAAAGATTTCTAAAGTCTGGTTTTCTGAAGACAACAAGTCCCCGTAAGAAGAACGGCTATGATTCATGGTTCAACTATGTTCAACTGGGTCTTTCGATCATGGAGGTCAAGCCTCACCCCAGAACCAGCGCCTCAATCACCGGCTGCAGGGTGAAGGTCAAGGCATCCAAGTGCTTGGGCTTGACGTAAGCGCGCAAGACTCCAGGAGTGTACTCGAAATATTCCTGGAGCAACAGGCGGAAATTGGTGGAATGATGTGGAATGTGAGTTGGGCTGCCCTAGACTTGGATGTAACGATTCGGTTGATGGGACGGGCAGCACTCAAAAATTGCCTTTTCACGTTGGCAGAGGTGAGGCCCCCCAGTGATTCACCTCAGAAATGTCCATTCAACGGGGAAGCCGCAGGTATAAAATGTTGAATTATGGGATCGTGGGGCGTTCACACCGACTTCTCCCAGGCCATGTCTCCTTGGCATCGATGATGGTCACCAGGTAGTGGCTCCCCAAGTCGCGCCCCGCGGCCAGCCCTGAGAAGCTGCCGCCGATGATCAACACGCGGCGCCTGAGACTCACACAGTTTGGGGACCGGTTTTCCTGCCGACATGTGGAGAGTGGGAATGGTCACCCAACATTAAATGACTATATTAGTCATTTGTCAATAGATATCTTATGATATATATATATATATATATATCATTATATATCATTATTTATATTTGCACTGAATGACAAATGACCATTAAATGAAGCCAGAAATCCATGGGACAAAGTGACTGAGCATCCAGGCTGGGAGGGAGGCATCACACCACACGTGAAGTCGCTGCCCTGGTTGGTATCCGCAAACGCCGCCCCGCAGCAGCGAACAAAAAATACGAAACTTTTGAACCAGGGCCGCAGCGTCCAGGGTACCCTCTGGGAAAAACAAATTTGTTACAGTTTAACTACTTTGCTATCCAGAATCACCATGTTTTTGGGGGTGTTAATTTAGGTGAATAATCTATATATGGACCATTTTCCGCTTCAAAAAATGGCAGTGCAACTTTTTTTTCAAAAGCGATATTGGTTCAAAACTTCAGCCACTTGCTGCTGTTGCTTCCACCTTTTGGTGAGGCAATTGGAAGCAGAACTGTCTTTTGATGTGTGTGGACTTCTTCATCTCTGCGAATGTGTCTGCTATCTGCTACAGTCGAGGTAAGGTATGCAAATAGAAAAATCATAGAATATCCAACAGAAATTCCAACAGAAATTCCAACATGTTCAAACAATGGTCTTTTCTCATCGTTGTACCTTTCTCCCTGGATTTCAGTCGTGACTCAGTAGCCCCAACGAGGACCACCACCAAAAAGGTGCACAGGCGTGTGGTGAACGAAGTACCAAATGCAGCGGCCGATGAAGCCTCGGAGGCACCGGAGGGAGCTTCAACAGAGGCTTCAAGGAGGCGAGCCGCGTGGTGGTGTCTTAGACTGAAAATGGCTGTGTCTCAAAAGTACGGTATACCATATCCCAATATATTCCAATGGTAAGTTTTAATTCAATCCATTGGAATTCGGGCACTCAATGCAGATGCAACAAGAGAGGCTGTTGATTTTTTCCGAATTTTGCTAGAATATGCTAGGATTTTGTGCTGTTGATCATTGGTGTACAGTAAGAGTATGTACCATGTTCATCCATTTTCGTAACAAATCATCACGATTTTGGGGAACCACCACCCTAATTAATCAACATTAATCAACCAGGGTTATTATTCTGGGTAAATTAGAATATTTCACTAACCTGAATTAAGGCCATTTTGGGATGATTTCCCTTACTAACCATGATTCCAGTGAGGTCGTAGTGAGGTCGTTATAATTTACCCAGATTATCCCAGATTATTGATCCGAGATTGACATCATATGTTCAATCCCAGCAGCCATAGGCGCACTCATCAGTCTTGGAAGCTTCGATGAACTCCTTCTGCACTGCGCAGACCTGACCCCACACGCACATCAGGCCGGAGTTCTTCTGCCAGTTGGCACCGGCTACGAAGCAAGCATCATCAGGACCAAGGGATGTGGCGAACATGCCTGCACCCCATGGCCAGTGCATGTCCCAGACATGCAGTGGTTCTCCGCAGCAGTCGACTGTCTTGTTCTGGAAGAGCAGCCTGTCTGTCTTTTCGATGTTGCTGCATGCAACAATGCACATCTCCTCACCTGGGTAAGAGATCTTGGGGATGGGAGGAATTGGCCAGTCATCTGGCTTCTTGCCAGGCTCGTCGACGCAAGAGTAGTTGCAATCACCAACAGCGTAGATACGGGGATAGCCCTTGTCGTCGCCTCCCCAGAGCTTTCCATCCCGAGTCTTCACCGAGAGGTTTTGGTTCTTGGCCAAGCACCAAGGTTGCTGATGTGTTGATACTCACGCATACTCACGCTGTGTTTGCTGCATTCAATGCATATCTTTGTCTCTGCCTCTCTCTCACACCCAAAAGTTGAGAACTTGTGTGAATCACATTGTCTGTTCAATTCTCAGCTCCTGGAAAGACTCTACAAGAAAGATCAGTCATGATTACAAACTTGAGGCCAGGGGGGAGGTACGAAAGCTAGCAGGGCTGGGGTAGGGTGGTAATCGTAAAGGGGGATTAGCAAGGTGAAGTCGGAATGCGGTAACGGGCTGTTGTAGGGTTGCAAAATCTATTGAGTCCAGCAAGCGAAAACCCCCCAATGCAGTAATCGTCTCTCGCCAAGTGTTGTAAGCAAAAGAAACGCAATATCAAAAAAAAAACGCCCCCCAAATGGAAGCCCGAATCTGCATAAAGATGTTCGAGACAAAGCAACATATGTATGATGATGATAGGGATGATGATGAGGATGATGCTGTTCTTGATGATGATGATGATGATGATGATGACGATGACGATGACGATGACGATGACGATGATGATGACGATGATGATGAGGATGATGAGGATGAGGATGAGGATGATGAGGATGATGAGGATGATGAGGATGATGAGGATGATGAGGATGATGAGGATGATGATGATGATGATGAGGATGATGAGGATGATGATGAGAATGATGATGAGGATGATGAGGATGATGAGGATGATGAGGATGATGAGGATGATGAGGATGATGAGGATGATGAGGATGATGAGGATGATGAGGATGATGAGGATGAGGATGATGAGGATGATGAGGATGAGGATGAGGATGAGGATGAGGATGAGGAGGGCGAGGATGAAGATGAAATTGAGGATGATGACCCTCTACCAGCCGGAAATCTCCTCTCGGGGGGGCTCGGCAGGGCAGCAGGGGGGACCAGGGGGGGATCGTGGGCCTGCCAGGGGGGGGTCTAACTGGAAAGTTTCAAGGTTTCCAATAGTCCTGCTCCCTGCCTATTCCTTGCTAAAGCAAGAGCAACTTCAGCTAGCACAGCTAGCTTTCGTGACTGAAAAGAATTCTGAGCACACGACCATCAAAATCCAGCCACCGCCACCAGGTCCCTTCTCACTCAAGGTCTCCTTGGGCATGAAATAGTTCGATGCCTTCACACCAATGCACACGTACTCCTTGTCAGGACCGTTGGGCATTTCAATGCTCTTCCAGAAGTCTGGATTCTTGGCATCGTACTTGGTGTTGTAGAACTGCTTGATGCCAACCTTGTTCATGTACTTCTCCTGACAAGATTTGTGCTCCGTGCTGCAAAGTCATCAACTGTAGCTGCAGTATATATTTAATCCTAACAAGATCTAGTCATCTAATAAGCAAAGTCCGGTTGAGATACCTTTTCGCATTTTTCGGCATCAGTTGAGCCAAGTTTCACAGTACTTGGCAGCGTTGGCTGGCAAAGGACCAAGTGGCTGAGGCAAGAAATCGATGACGGTCAGCTTCACTCGGGGGAAGAAGTGCTGAATCTCCGTGGCCCATTCGACACCAATGAAGCCAGCACCCACCACCAACACAGTGGCCGACCTGTCGTGCAAGCTCTTCAGGAAGTTGAACCTGAGCAAGCCCCGATTGATTAGGGGGTTGCCCCCCTCCAAATAGTGATAATCTGCTACTAAAGTGGCACCCTGCCAAGTAGACAGCCCAAAGGGGCTATGAATTCGGGGTTGACGTTATCAAGATTGGTGGATGTTTGTTTTTACCTACTCCTAAATGACACGTGTGTGTACATCCTATACATATTACATATTATTACACATACTATGATTAACTGTATCTATATGATCATTTAATATCATTTACATTTATATATAGTGTATGATTTTGTAATAGTTTATATTCTAGACTACGTCCATCCAATCCATTTCCGGGCACATTTCGAAGTGTTAGCCCAGCAGCTCTTCCAAGACGTGTCGCCGACGTCCCTCCAGGTAACGCTCGTCCAGGTGAGGCCAGGAGCCTCGTTGAAGTTTTAGGTCATTTAATGAGACCAGGGATTTATCAGTATCATTCAGTATCCGTTATCGATCTTTAGAGGGTACATTATGTACATCGCAGACAATTCATCTGCTGTTCCAACACGCATTCGTTGGCGCGCCATTATGACAATAAAGACAATGAAAGGAAGGGACCAAAAGCACTAAATAGCTGCAGAACGATTGGATTTCCAGAGTCTTGACACAGATCATTCACATAACCAACGTTATCGTTTTTTTCCCTCTTATTGTTTTTTCGAGTGAAAGCTGAAAATTAAAATGGCTCATGGGGGATCATGGAAGACTAAACGAATAGGCGCGGGGGTTTTACGAATGCACGTTGTGCATCTTCTGGCGTTCCAACATGGGGGTTGAACTGGTTTTGGCATCTTTTGGCACGTTGGGATGTTCCCCAAAACCTGCCATCCACCTGCCATCCATCTGCCATCCACCTGCCTTCGGGCCGTGCGTCCTCGTGGATGGTGGGGAACCAAAGGGATTCGCCCCACCTGAGAAAATCTCAGCGGAATTTCCAGTGACTTTTCCCACAGAGTTTCCCCACCAAAATTGCCACAACTTGGGGATATTTGGGGTATCCTGGGGTATCCGGGGTATCCCCTCACTTTGAAACAAAGCCTACCGGGTCCCAGGGTATGGGTCAGAAATGGTCAGAATTCGGATACCCCAAAACCATCCAAAACCTGGAATGGTACCAACAACGAGCAAAATCTGTGCTTTGCAGTCTGCTGTATGCCCAGCTGGGCTCCCCCCAGGTGGCCCAACTTGTGGAAAGGTCCGAAGTTGCATCCCGCAGCAATGATGCAGTAGTCAAAATCAATGGTCTCCTGATGGCCAACATGCAGCTGCCGGGAGGATGGTGAAAAAAACGATCAAAAACTACTATATAAGTATGGTATAGTATGGTTGCAGTCACGTGTCTCAATGTACTCGGATTACTTCACAGGGAGATAATCACTTGTCTTTGAAGCTTCAACGGTTTGTGCTTGCATTCCCAGCCGGTCCCGCTCGGACGTGAAAATAGGCCTCAGAGCGGATCGACTGAAACCATCTGAAAGCCAGTAGTAGTCTCCCCCCGATGATGTTGAGAAGTAGCAGGGCTTTTGAAGTCAATCTCATGTTCCCATCCACCCAGGACGTCTGGAAATATTGGAAACAAACATCATGGTCCCCAAAAAGATAAAAAGGTGAACTATCTTTTTGGGGATGACCATGATGTTTGATTTTTTGGTAACTTCCCATGTCTATTTCAATGGGGAATTACTGTTCTATCTTTTTGGGAATAACATGGGATAACTACAACTATCTACAACTTGTAGCAAAGGGATGCTGAGACAAGGGCTTGTAGGTGGCTGTCTTCTGCTCACCGTTCAACTCCTTGACTTCTCCCCAAATGTACTTGCAGGCCATGCGCGTCTGGCGGAGCTGGGAGAAAGCGGGCTTGGGGGGATTCCCAAAAACTTCAAACGTTGTCCAAATGGAGGTTTCGTAGATGGGGGGTGCCCCAAATCATCCAAAATTAGACAATTTTGGTATTGAAACCCATGGTTTTGGGGATCCCGTATTCCAAGAAACCCCCAAATATGACCAATTTTCAGGATTACAGCAATCAACAGATTCAAGGCACGAGTTCAGGGTCCCCATCTTTTACATTTTTTTACTATCTACATTCACCCCGTACTTCTTGTTCGATCTGAGATAGCAGAATCTCATGGTGCAACTGCCTCAATAACTGGCTGCAGGGTGAAGGTCAAGGCATCCAAGTGCTTGGGCTTGACGTAAGCACGCAAGACTCCAGGAGTGTACTCGAAATACTCCTCATGCAGAAGCCTAGAATCTCAACTGCATCAGCCTGGTGACTGAGTCGACTGCATTCGTTTTTCCCAAGGAACCTGAAACATCTGAAACTCATATATATATAATCATCAATAGATTTTTTTCATCACCATTCATCACCATTCATCACCATTCATCACCATTCATCACCATTCATCACCATTCATCACCATTCATCACCCAGCCCATGAGGTCCTTAGCATCGATGATGGTCACCAGGTAGTGGCTCCCCAAGTCGCGCCCCGCGGCCAGCCCTGAGAAGCTGCCGCCGATGATCAACACGCGGCGCCTGGGCAGGGCCGGTATTCATGGGAAGATCCTGGGAAAATGTGGGGGAAACATATAGGAAATCCCTATACATGGAGGTTTATCAGAAAACCAACTGTAAATTTTGGGGATGTTCGGCATTGCCGTGTTTTAGTCTACTGAAGGGTGTGTCAAATGCGGAAATTCACTTTCCAGACTTGCTGGAACAATGCAGAAACTGGTGTTTGATCTGTTGAAGCCCACTTGGCAGTAGCCATCTGCTTCCGCAACCGATAAAATACACGGCCGCATTCTATGTACTATCTACACTCTCTGAAAAATAAAACTCGCAAATTACCTACATTCGTAGATGTGTTCCCTCTTTCGAATGGGCTCAGAGATTACTCTGCATACATATATAAAAATAATATCACATACATACACACAAGCTGAAAACGTGGTTTTAAAAAAATATTTTAAAAAATGAATATTTTAGCATTATTGTTAACTTGATGTTATAGATCAGAACGCACAGCATAGGGACCTCTGCGGGTTCGTTCCACACTGTCATTATCACCATCATCATCATCAACAACAACAACAAAGTTTACCGGGAGTGGGACTTTTATATTCCCAAATACCTGTGTGGATCTTCCCAATTGAATGTAAAGGTTCACGGGGGTGGGACTTATATATTATATATATTATATGGCAGTGTGTCAAAACCTTGTACCCCTGGTGAACATCAAAATAGCTGGTAAATGGATGTTCATTCCCCTAAAAATGGTATTAATAGGTATTGATCCATACCCATATATATTCCCAAATACCTTAGTTGATCTTCCCAAGTCAAGAAGGGGGTGGGCGACACGGGGTTGTTTGCGCTAAGGACATACCAGGCTCCCCAGCTGCGAGGGAGGCATGGTGGCCGGGATTTTTTGCTCCAAGAATGGAGGTCTAAGCTTAAAGGACTGAGCCAAAATGAACAGCAGAAAAATTGATTCCCAGCGTTTGGGCAAATTACATCAGTTTCTGGAACTGGGAATAAGCCCTACTCGAAAATTATCATTCTTGTATAATAATGTATATTAATGTGGTGATGGTGATGGTGATGGTGATGGTGAGGGTGAGGGTGATGATGATGATGATGATGATGACGATGACGATGACGGTGACGGTGAGGATGATGATGATGATGATGATGATGATGGTGATGGTGATGGTGATGGTGATGGTGATGGTGATGGTGATCGTGATGGTGATGGTGATGGTGATGGTGATGGTGATGGTGATGGTGATGGTGGTGATGGTGATGATGATGATGATGATGATGATGGATAAGATCATGTTAGGTCTCAATGGCCTCAAGACAGGGTCTTGAAGTTTGACGTTCTGCTCTGATGCGTAGGCTAGACATAGGACACCATGCACCCAAAAAATCTCACCATTCTACTTGATGGACTCAATTGCTGCACAACGGCCAAAGCCATATATTTCCCATATATTCCCATATTTTACCATATTTTCCCACATATTTCCTATATATTCCAGAAAGCGCTCGCAACATTTGAAAATCGATGTCTAACTGCTGCGAAAAGGGTTGGTCTCGATGCCACTTAAGCTGCGGCATTCGGCTGGAAAAGTCTGATGATTCTTGTCGTCTGCCACAAGGCTGCTCAAAAAAAGCACAAGTTGCCAAGGTAAGCTAAGTCCTTCTTCATGCTTGGCAGCGTAAATTCCAACATGTTCCAACTTGATGTTTGAACAGTTTCTGTGTCCCATTCTATTGATTCTACTGGTCTTTCCAACAGGCCAAGAACATCAGCCACCATCTCCTTTGAGATACTGGTAGCCGCCCCGGCCGCCACTTAAAGACTTCGCTCCGCTCCTTTTCACTCGGGCCGCTCAGTAGCCCCAACGGGGACCGCCACCCCAGAGGTGAATAGGTGTGTGGTGCACAAAGTACCAAATGCCTCTACCGATGATGCCATAGGCGCACTCATCGGTCCTGATGTCATTGGCTTGGCCATGCTGCGCCATGCTGGGAGGTGCGTATGGGAGCGTGCATGCAATTATGGGCCTGCCTCAAAATTCAGAGATACTCATGTGTCACATTTAGATTGGCTATCTTGAGGTATCCTCAATTTTGCAACCAA